ATTATGATTTATAGTACAACAAAAATGAATCATATTTTTTTTCCATAATACATCAATAAAAAACTTATCTTTATACTATGTAAAAACAGCCAGTAGCACAATTTGACAGTAGGAGGAAAAAAAAAACAGGGTAAATGTATACCATCCTAAATTTGCCATAAAAATATATCCATTAGAGGTACATCGCAACGATGGAAAAGCAAGTCTCACAGGTTTTTCCTTTTCAGCTAGTTGGGGTATGAACTTCCCCAATTGGTTCACCATCCCCAGAAAGCTCATTTAAATGTATAGATTTGAGGTGATTTTAAAATAAGCATGAATCATAAAATATACCCAGATTCTTTTTCTATTTCCAGTATCGAAAATGCTATCCACAAATTATCAGACATGAAATGTTTTGCAAAAATTAATTTACAATTGTCCTGCAATCAAATACAGATTAATGGTAAATTCAAAGAAATTACCACTATAAATACCCCCATAGGATTATTAAGATGGTCGAGAATGCCTTTTGGAGTGAAAACGGCAATGGAAAACAATTAAGACAAAAAACAGAACATGTCCAACAATTTAAAAATGTAGAGATGAGAGAGACAAATGGGAATTTGATTGTGATACAATATCATATTTAGGGTCCCAAATTTCAAAAGATGGCATTGCACCAGATCCAAAGTTCATTAAGAAAATTTCAGAAGTATCTATAACTACTAAAGAAAAAGAATAGTGAGTTCAAGTGAACTCAGAGGCAAAGCTTAGTCTGCAAGCATTTAAGAGATACTTGCAGAAAAACCCATTGTAAAAATCTTTGATCCTAGAAAGGAGGTTACATTAACTACAGATGTAAGTGAATGAGCTGTGTCAGCAATTTTATCACAAGAAGGCCATCCAATAATGTACCTATCAAGAAGATTGGCGGCAGCAGAAATAAATTATTCAAATATTTGAAAAGAAGCATTGGCCATTGCCTGGAGAACAGACAGAGCTTGACAATTCTTATTAGGTCAGTAGTTCCTATTAAAGTCAGGCTATAAACCTCTACAGTTTTTTTAACCCTAGGAAAAAAAAACTAACAAAAGATGAGCTACCGAAAGATGGGTCATAAAATTAATGGCTTATGATTTTGACATTGATTACGTAAAAGGAAGTACAATACCACATGTCAATGTGCTGTCAAGGTTACAATTTAGTAAGGATCAAAAAGAAAATGGAAATCCTGGATGAAGAAATATTACATTGGGTTGAAATTGACATATTATCTCTGCAAAGATTGATATCAAACTCTACAGGATCCAATATTAAGTAAGACTGCTGAAAGAATAAGTTGAAAAAAGTGGAGTAATTGTTCCAAAGCTGAAAGACCTTATCAAGATATAATACATAAATTAACAATGGAAAATAGTGTTATATGCAATGGAGATAGAACCACCAGAAACAGATATTTTAAAACGTTGTACATGGTGTGCATTGTGGGGTACCGATTACGCAGAAGAGACTGAAATTGGGTGTGGGGTGGCCAGGCTATTATTGTGCTATAGAAACATGTACACAAATGTCCAAAATGTACAGAAGTAAAGAATTTTCAACAAAGGATACTGCACTCATGGCCTAAAGAAATGGAACCATGGTCACATTTTCATATGGACCATGCACACATTAATAGCATGAGACTATTTCTAAGTTTAGTAGACTCCTTTTCAGGATGGCCTGAAGTTGTTAAAAGTCCCTAAGACATCAGTATCAGACAATGCACAAGAATTTTGTGATGAAGATCTGTGTAATTGGTTCAGGTGGACTGGTTGCTTCCCTTACAAAACACCACATTATCACCCACAATCTAATGGAAAGAATGGTGCAAACGGTAAGAATGAGGTTAAAAGCATTTTTCCAAGTAGAGATATTATAGATGGTTTCTGCTTAATTATGGGACAATTTCACATGCAGACAGATTGCAAAGTTTATCTGCATTAATGGGTAGACAAGTAAGATCTCCATTAAAAATGTCTTATTCAACAAATGAAAGCACAAAGTAGCAAGTCCTGAGAGCTAATTTCAACATGCGAAGGAGACATAACACAGCCATTATATCAAAGAAAGAAAAAAGTTTAATGGCCCATTCTGACCAATTTAGACCCAAATTGAAGAGGAAGATGTTGTGATGGAAGACCTTTACTGAGAAGAAACGATGAGTTCTTCAGATCAGGACAATGCAATAGAAGACAAGTCTATGGATGATAACAGGAGTGATTTGACATGGACGAAGATCTTTATTAAAAAGAACAGAACATAAACCTCAAGGATATGAGGAAAAAAGTTGTTTGAGAACAGCCAAAGGCATGAAATCTATTTGGTTCAGGGAGGTGTAGTGAATTGGTAAATAGGATTGTACCTGTTTGTAAGTATGAAGTGTAAGCGTTCTCGAAGCAAATTTGTTACTTTCACAACACAAAGAAAAAATCACTTGTAACGCGTCAGGAAAATAACTCACTCTCCAACAAACGCCGTAGCCAAAAATGCCCGAATTTTCCTTCTTGCCATTGCACAGGTGCTGGATCGATGGACTGACACTCCTTGCATCCTCTGACCACTGCCCTGACAGCAGCTTTGGATATGGAGGATAAATCTGCCTCACAAAATATAGGGTCCCTTTTTACACGGGATGTCCGCTGGCAATGCACAGATTTTAGTAAATCTGAGTTATGGTTGCTTTCGCTGATGTTACACAGACATGTCCTACCGGCTCTACCTCTTTCTTAATAGCGTCAAGCCATTTTTTGGGTACCCTTTGTTAAAAATATCGGCCTTGTTCTGCTGTGATCTGACCAGCTGTATGTCTACGGATAAGTGGTATTCACTTACCAACTTTCCCATTGTGTCTAGCTGCCTTGAATGAGCATCTCGCCGCAGCCTTTGTAATGTATCTAGCCTTCCCGTAAGAGTGTCTGATATCCACTTATACACATGCGAAATCCGTGAATAAATGCAATACCTTTGCATTCCATTGAAGGGCCGTGGTGACTCCCCCTGATAACGGCGTCTAATTCTGACAGGTTGATATGTTGCGTATCCTTCTCGGACACAACCAACACACATCTTCCACGACAGTTTCACCTACTTCAAGAGACACTCCTGTTGCAAGGGAGCTCGCGTCGACCCAGACGTTAAATTCACATCTGTCAACGCCCATTTACCACGTGCAGGGGTCGCCTTGACGCACCCTAGTAATGACTTCGCTATCATGTGTCTAAGGGAGCATCATTTGTTGTGTCATCCCAGCCAGAAGTGACGGCAGTCACCCTACGCTTAATAAATGCAGTTGCACGCGGATCCACCGCCACGGAAAATGTCCCACCAGCTTTCCACATAACGAAAACACGCTGCGTCGGGTCATGTGTTTGGGAATGTCCGGGAGCTCGCTTCCACGTTTCCAGTAAAGCATGTTGTGCTCCCCCCAGACCTGCAAGCCGAGCACCCGAGCACCATAATAGAGCACAGACCAGGGACCCCACTCTCTCCACTCGAACCACAGACTGTCCACTAGTATCACCACTGAATTTGGGGATCAGTTTTATATCGAACAGTCTTTCCGCCATCTTGCGAGAGACAAAGTAAATGCCGAAATAGCTATTTCGGGGGGGCGACTGTTGGAAGAGATTGTGTGTTATGTTCTGAGGTTTCTTCTGATCGGACAACCTCATGCGCAGAGTCTTCATCATCTGAAGAATGTTCTGAAGATTCTTCTTCTGAGGATTCTTCTGGTCTGACAACCTCACGCTTTTCCTTCACCATCTGAAGAGGTGCTAGCCCTACCTCCGATGGTAATTATTTGTTCACTTTCTGAACACTCACTGCTAGTGTCACTTGTTGACGTATCTGTACCTACATAGCGATTCAAGTCCTTTATGTGTCTTGGTATGCCATCAACCAGCACAGAACACGAGTTACTTAGTCCAGTGACATGCCCCACCCGGTACCGGGTTGTACACGGCTATGTGGAGATTTCACCCACGCGATCGCCCAAGTCATATGGCGCTCTTAATTTATCCGTTCAGTTGAACGCGTTGCGTCAATGCCTCGTGAGCGGACTTTGTACTGATAAATCATGTTGGCTGGCGCAGTTGATGGCGATATATTATTGTCTCTCGGAGTAACATTGTACCAATACACCGCCTCCATTATGGCAATCGAGTTTCCGCACTAAACCCGGAATCAATTTGGTTAGTTGGAGGGAGCTCCAACTAACCAGGTTGACTAAGGAGGGGCGTCTCGGTCCAGGGCGGAAACGCAGTAGACAAAAGACCCCGTGTTAGGCAGTAGTAGGATCGCGCCTGTGAATGGTGGTCGTATGCCAGCCCGTTCAATATAACCGAACCTCGAACTTTTTTCCAGGGTACCTGATTATCTCGTTCACTACAAAGTAGAAGAGAAATCATGTGTATAGTAAAGTAAGAGACAGGCAGAAGTTGACTACTGATCACGTGTCATAGAACAATAGTGCACAATAATTTATTACGTGAATTTTTGTGGTTATCACTGTCCCTTTTTTGATAATTTTTTGCATAATTTTACAAAATTAGATACATCAATGACAAAAGGTCTTATAGAGAAAAGACATGTTTTGTTGAATTCCTCATCCCAAAATTAGTAAAGTTTCAAAGTTTCTGGCAAGTACCTCCAATGGATACTTTTTTATGGCAAGTTCAGTGTGGTAGACTATTGACTTGTTTTTGCCAAACTGTCAAATTCCCCTTCTGCCTGTTTTTACATGGAGTAAATCTGAGTGTTTTATTGATGTACTACTGAAAGAAAAAAATTAACTTTACCTCTGTTGTGCTATGAATCATAGCAAGATGTTACAGGGCATTAACTCTAAAGGTAAAGGTTTTAGTGTTTACCTATTAGGGTAAAGGTTTTCCAGTTTCATTGAAATTTAACTACCTTATTCACCCAATTTATAATTAGTGAAGGTATAAATTTACTTTTATCATTTCTTTTTTTCATAGTGGACTGTGGTGGTAATCGAGCAAAAAGAAAAGCTTGCAAAAACTGTACCTGTGGTTTAGCTGAAGAACTGAAAAATGGAGATGGTTCCAAACCTGCAATGCCAAAATCTGCTTGTGGTAATGTGAGTAACTCTGAAGTAAACATTATTTTTTTCAGAAATAAGGTTAAGAAAGAAAATCAAATCAACTTTCAGATTCCAAGTTCTAAGAAGCAATAGAAAAATAATCTTTTTTTGTCAATAAAAAAAAAATGTCTTTTCTATTTTTGGAAACAAGTTAGGTTTACTGTATTTAAATGATACCAACATACATTATGAGCAGTTACATGTTAGATTATCTGAGTTATAATATAATCTTGTACATTAATAAAAGGTCCTTGATAAGTGATAGGAATTTAACTGAAAAATAATTTTATGATGATCAAACTTAGTAGCCATAGATGTTCTATGTACACTGATTCAAAGTTGCCCATGAGTTATAGCTAGATCTCTTTATGCTGATTACTTATTAGCTAAACCAAATCTTTTTGATTTCATGCCCTGTGGATGTACAGCTTCTCCTATATTCCCTCTCCTTTTCATTGGTTTCACAAGTATTTCTCATTATAGGAGACCTTGATCTAGTTCTTTTATTCCCAGTGTCCCATGTTTCGTACTTCTGAAGAACTTTGATCCTCCATTGATTCCTCTGCCCTGCTTTCTTGTTCATCTACATAGTTCAAACTAGCTTTGCTTTGTACTTCCTTATAATTTTGGATAGCTCTTGACTGGTCTGCATGGCCAACAATATTTTCACCATTCTTGCATATTAATGCCATGTTGTATCCTTTTTGCATTATGAAATTCGCTTTTTCCGGATCATTTTCTTTATTTCTTTTGTACCATATGTTTTCATTAATAGAGTAAGACATGATTAATGGAGTTCTCATTAATGCAGATGGGCTCTCTAATCAGTCAGCAAGTGGTATTGTTCTGTAACTCAACAATAATCTTGAAAGTTTCAATCTTGCTGAGAAAAAAATGTTTTCAATCCCATTTTTATAGTTTGTAGCATTCGTTCAACAATCCCATTTGATTGAGGATGGTAAGGAGGTGTTTTATATGGGACACAGACAATCTTCCTTAACTACGAGCATAGACTTTAATCACAGAATTTGGGAGCATTATCAGTTACTAATGTTTTTGGTACTCCATTTCTAGCAAATATTATGCATAATATTTGTTGTACAGTAATAGATTGTTTTTACCTTGAACTCTGAAAACATCAGGCCAGGTGGAAAAAGTGTCAACCAGTATTAGATATAAACCTACCCCATTAACTTATGCATGATCCAGATGAACTCTAGACTATGGTTCTTAGGCCAAGAGTGTAACTTACTGTGGCAAAAATTCTTTATTTCAGCACATTTAGGACATTTGCGCACATAACTCTCCACATCTCTGGTGTGTCCTGTTTGCCATGCTTCCAGTTTTAACTGGTTTTGTGTAGCGATTATCCCACAATGCACACCATCATGTACACTTTTAATTACTACTTTTCTACATTTTTCCATTGGTACCACTAAACCCCCACTACAAATTAGACCATTTTCTATTGATAGTCTGTCTGGTTTCTTTGTATGGTCTTTCTGCTTTTGAACAATTACTCCATTTATTGTTCCTTATTCTAGATAAAATTCAACTTGAATCTTGTAATGTCTCCATAACTAGTCTATTCATGGGCAACACATCTATTTCCGCCCAATGCAAAATTTCATCCTCAATTTTATTTATGTTTATTCGGTTTTGTTCCTTTTCAAATTGTAATCGCAACAATGCATCTACATGTGGCATATTGTTTCCCTTCACGTATTCTATATCATAATCAAAAGTCATTAACTTCATAGCCCATCTTTATATTCTGGATGATGCAACTTTTGGCAATTCCTTCCTAGGATTGAATATAAATTCTAAGGGCAACAAAAAATTTTTCCTAATAAAAATTGTCTTGCTCTGGTCATACTCCATACAGTCACAAGTGCTTCCTTTTTGACATTAGAGTAGTTCAATTCAGCTGGTGTCAATGGCTTGGAAACATACATCACCAGGTGTCCTTCCTGAGACAAAATTGCCAATACAGACTGACCACTAACATTTGTGGTTAATGTAACATCCTTTTTAGGGTAAAAAATTTTTACCACAGGTTTTTAGATAGAGCTTCTTTTAATTTAATGAAGGTTGTTTGTTGTGTACTAGTCCATTCAAACTCCTTATTTTTCTTTTGCAACTCAGAAAACACTTCAATTCTTTCTGAATATTTTAACACAAATTTGCTATAAAAATTGGCTAATCCAAGAAATGATTCCAATTCTTTTTTATTAGTTGGAGAAGATACATGTAATATTATTTGTATTAAATATACACTTATCTTCGTTTATCATCATTCCAGTTTTCCTCAAACAAAAGCAAACTGAAACAAAATCTAAATTTGTAATGGATAACCATTACAAATTTAGATTTTGTTTCAGTTCTTCTTCAGTGGCTGCACCTAAACATATAATGTCCTGATAAATTATTATATTTTCTACTCTCCCTGCTAATAAATTTTCCATAGCTTTTTGAAAAATCGAGCTGTCTTAATTCCAAATGGTAAGTGGGACCATCTAAGTAAGCCTATGGAGAGTTTATTGTTGTGATTTCTTTAAATTAGTCATCTATTTGAATTTGCTGGTACACATTTTTTAAATCAACTTTTGTAAAATATTTCATTCCTGTCAGAGAAGGTAATATGTTTTCTATGTTTAGAATAGGATAGGAATCCAAGCAAATATTATCATTTATGCCTACTTTGTAATCTCTGCAAATCACCATTAGGTTTTCTTAAAACGACAATAATGATGCCCATTTACTGCCTCCAGGTTCTATATATTGGAGAATGCCTTTTTCCAGCTTATCAACTACCATTGGCTTTGTATGAATGGGAAATACGATGGATTGATATTTATTTTTTAACTTAAGACTCCTTTTAAAGTTTTTTAATGTCCCAGTTTTGGGACTTCCCATATTCATAGCATTAAATAAACATGTGCTATTAATATTTATCAAATCAGTTCCTACTAAATCATGACTTTTTATACTGTCTACCACCATAATAATGACAGTTTCAAATTTATTTTTTGTTTCAAAAGTGCCTTGAAAGGACCCTAACATTTTTATACACGTTTCATCAAACTGTCTTAATCTTATTAAGCCTCTTTTTTAATTTTGGTTTTGATAATTGTTCTCAAAAATTCTTCAGAATAAGGGTCACTTTACTTCTAGTATCAACTTGCATTTTTAAATCTACACCATTTAATTTAATATTCATGAAGGTGTTCTTTTTGTTTCTCCTTTCTATTGAAAAAAATATTTGTTTAACTTTTTACATCATCATGTATTATTTGGACAGTTTTTACATTGGTATCTTGCCATCTACATACAACTTGAAAGTGATCTTTATTTTTGTACTTATTATGTCTGTCCTCATGCTGGAAATTTCTCTCTCTTCGATTCATGTTTATAGTTGCAATATCTGCATTTAATCATTATTCTTTTTATCTCAGGTTAGTTTTCATTTGTATTAAATTTTTCAATTACCTCCTCTTGTTGAATGACATCAATACAAGCTTCTAAAATCATTTGGATTGTCTGTAAAACTGCTCCAAAATTTTGTACTCTGTGAGGGGTGTTGTACACTCCTTCTACCAATCAGAGATGAATTAATTCTTCCTCTGTGCTAATTCCTTGTTGTCCTAGTACATGAAATTCACAGTACCCACTGGTATCTCTTAACCTTCTTAGATATTTCCTTATAGGCTCTCCAAATTCTTGTTTCAATGTTAAGAATTTGGCTTGTTTGACTATGACCAATCTTTTCTGTGATTGAATATTTCTCAATATTAGTTATTTGACTTCCTTAAATGTCAAGTTTTCAGTTTCAGCTGAGTAAGTCATTAACCAAATCTGCCAAATGGCTTCACATCCTGCAGTGACCAAAAATAGATGCATGATTTCTTTCTGTCCTCCAGGTGTTTGGTCATCATGTAACTTTTTATTCTGGCATGTACCTCAAAGCATTTTATCCAAATTTTTACGTTTTCAGGTTCTGTATTCAACAGAGCTCCATCAGGCAACATCATTTTGTTTTGATGATCAAACTTAGTAGCCATAGATGTTCTAAGTACACTGACTCAAAGTTGCCTGTGAGCTATAGTTATAGCTCTCTTTATGCTAATTACCTATTAGCTAAACCTATCCCATTACAAATTTAATGTTTTTTTTCGCCAGTTATTAATTTTCTTGAAGTGTAAATACTTAACACTTTTAAATATTTTCATTTTCTCTTAAAAACCATTTAATATTTCAGTCAGATTGAATTTTCTTTTAGAAGATTCTCACAGAATAAATCATTTAAATATGAAAATAAATTCACAACTGAAATTGAATTAAATTATTATTGACTATAATTTAAATTCTAGTTTATCCTTTTAGTTTTGTATGTCAACATCAACTAATTGTAGACTTAGAATGTGCAAAATGAAAAAATTAAACTTTTTTAAAGATTTTATTTTTAAAAGAATTGAATACATTTTTAAAATGGTAAATCATCTTCATTGAAAATAATTTAATGAAAAATAGCTTACTTTCATTAGTAATAAATGAACTGTACAAATTTTCATACTTTTGTTGTAATAAAAAAAAAATATTGTTTTTTACCAGTCAGCAATCTGTGCTGACAGACTTCACTTTCATTATTCAGTTGTAATAACCCAGGTTATGCTCGTTGAAACAATATGGTGGTTAAAAAGTTGTTGTTTTTTCTGATAGTATTTTTTTTTATTATTATTATTTGGCCTTTTTTAATTTTCTGGTATTAACATACCTCAGAGGCATTTTGTTTTGTTGACTACATTGTTGATACATAAAAAACTAAACCATGATTTTTAATGCTTTGATGTTAAGGTGTTGTTTATTTTTCAATATATTTTAAGTAAAATGTAAATAATATTTTGTCATAGGTCTGTAATCATTAACTAATTTTCATTTTATTTATAAATGAATGTCTACTCATTTTTTTCTTGGAAGATTTTTAATTAAATTTAATTTTAAGAGGTGTTGACCTAGCATAAAATATATTAGGTATCCCAAACACTTCAGTACTAATGACCTCGATTTTGTCAGTTTAATCTTCATTCTTGCCCAATTCATTATCTTTTCTAAACCCTGTAATATCCAGAGACAGTAGATGTAGTAACTGTCAGATTGTCTAATATGCATAAATTTGTGTGGAACAGATCCATATGCATTAGCAAGTTCCAGCCACAGCATGAGTAGATCACCTTTCCCTTCTTTTGCTTATCTTAGGAGCTGCATTATCACACAAATATGCTCCAGGCAACCTGGGATGCCTGCATTCCCTCCCTTTTGTACTGAAGTATCTATGCAATTGTTGGCAGCAAGAAAATGCCAAAGTCATTGGAACAGGATGCTGAAGAAGATTTTGTTCTCAGTGTCCAGCAAAGAAATCGTTCTAAACTGTTTAATTCCTTTCAAGTTTTCTTCTTTATGAATCCACATTGCATTAGCAAACCTCCACTGCTTTGCAACTCTACCTCTCCTCCAAATGACTTTTAATATCTTCCAGACATGTAGCTGAATATTTGGATATCTCTTATAAAACCTATAGGGAACACAGATGATCTAGCTGCCAAAATAACCTTTAATTCTTTCAAGGTCAGTGCCCCAAACTCAAAACCTGTCTGTGGCAGTTCAGGGTGCACTATAGCATTGTTTTCTCCTAGATTATTTTCTCTTTCTTGATCACTGAGTGTCTCTTGTAGGAAAGAATTTATTTCTTCTGCCATACACTCAAGATTACCATTTCTCTTGTCTCCAAGTAATCTCTTTGCAAAACCTTTTGCATGCTTTCTGTGATATATCACTCTATGAAGAGTTTTAAGTTTATTCCTCAGTAGGTCTCAGAGTTCCAAAAGGAGTTGTTTTTCCACCTCATTTGCTTTTTTTGTATTGTCTCTTTAGAGATCTCAGCTCATGTTTCAACTGGTGAATTTTTTTTTCCTGACACTTATTTCTGGGTTTCTTCTAGTGTTCCTTTTGAACATAACCAAATCTTTCTGACATGTAACTAATCATGATAGTCGTCATTGTATACAATTTACTATCTGTGTCCCCTTTTGATATCATTCATAAAATATCACTTGCATCCTGAATGAATTGTTGCCATTCATCCTTCTTGTGTGTAGTAGACCATTTAATCTGCTTTCTGGTTACTCTCTCTGTGTCTCAAGAGACTAGTACATGGAGGGACTTATCTCTGTGGTGTGTGTCCTGGCCATGTTCCTCCTCCATCTCACCAGGGGAACTACCCGTGCGTTGTGTCTACTTCTCTCTCTCCAAACATTTCATCCTAGTTTGTTGCATTTTAAGACCTTGCGGATTCTTAGTCTTTCCCACAGATGGATTTCACTGTTGTAATCCAGGTGTAATTCTTAGTCAAATGCCCTTCATCTATCCCGATGGTGATCTCACTCTCTCCACCCACATTGGCCTCTCAAGATCCCCTAGGTAATGAGTAACATTGCACAACTCTGTATAAATACTTGTACTAATGAACAGCACATTGTTTTGTACTACTTGCACCCCTGAAGATGATCTTGGAAAAAGATCGAAAGTACTTGGGGAAATGAAAATAAAAGAAATTTAAACAACTATAGCACATTTCTCTCATCCTTTAACATGAATACATGGAAAGTTATTTGGTAGTATGTACGTATTTTGTTTAAAATTAGCTGATATAATGTCTGTAATTTATTCAATCAGACATGCCTAAAAGAGAATTTACTGTCTAAATACACACATACATATATGTGTGTGTGTTATTTATTTTGCTTATATTAATTCTCTGCTGATTTTCTACCTTTACATAAGGCCATTTAGATATATGATGGGATATAACATTATCATAAGGTAACCTTTCTTGCACATCAACCAACAAAAGTTGTCTCCAAAATCTTTGCTGTTACTAACAGCATCAGACAAGGTTTATGTGCTGACGTTCATAATATTTTCACTATTTTTTTAGACTGATGTTAAAACAAACCACAGAAGCACTGGATGACATGTAAACAACATCTGTGCATGCACATAAAACCAGCAATGTATTCAACCTGAAGTCACATTGAGCCTACATCAAGATTATAGTGGAGCTGGTTAATAAATTCCTCTTTGCAGATGACGTGGCTTTAATTTCTTCCTCAGATTGCCCTCTAGAAGATGACATCCTGCTTTGCAAAGGCCACAAAACTCTACAGTATGAAAGTTAATTTTAAAAATCTGCACTAAAACTAGTGTATTTCCAGCCTTATGAAGCTGAAAAATTTCTTTCCAAACTGGAAGATTTCAAAAAGAAAAATCTTCATAATCATGTCTGACTTTTTGACTATATTTTCTCTTGTGTGATTCAGCTGTTATTAAATGATTCTCCCAAAAAAAGAAAAATTATAAGAACAAATCAGCATGATACTTTTTAAAACAAACTTAGAAAAGAAAATTATTATTTGGTAATTATGCAATTTTACTTCCATATAAACAACAGTATACATTATTTGGTACATAGCTGTAGTTAGCTGCATTAAGAAAATTTATAATCTACTTACTTTTCTTTTGCTAGTTGTCCTTTTCTCTTTGATTCTTATTCTTCTATTCCCTATCAGTTTTGTTTTTCAGGTTAACTCTTTCCAACTTCAGTAGTCCTATACAGATCTTTTATTTTTTCTCGTGCTTACATGTTCAGTCTCACTCTTAAAACAATCTTGTACCTTCACTTTTAGAACTTTTAACAGAGAGACAATTTTAAAAATACTGAGTTTGATCATCAGAAACACTTTCAATTATATCAAAACATTGTACTTCAAAATTTATTATTCATTTTTAATCTATTGAGTTTTTAAAATCATAAATCACTTGCAAATGTAATTAATATTAATCATTTTATAAAGTTGATAATATAGGAGTATTAATAATGTCAAAATGATTGGATGAATGTAGTAATAAAATATATTCTCTCTTTTCAGTGTTATCTTGGAGATGCCTTTCGTTGTTCAGGCTGCCCTTACCTTGGAATGCCTGCCTTCAAGCCAGGAGAGAAAGTGTCATTAAAAATGGTTTAGGTGGTTTTCCCATCTTCGTGTATAGATAATTAACTTTTGGTTGTAAGTAATGTAATCTGATCATATTTATACTAATTGCTGACACTCTTGGGGAGAAGGTTTCTTACCTGTGTTGATAAGAATAGATAATTCATATTAGACTTTTAGGAAAGCTAATAAGCTGGTTTTATTAATAAAAGAAATAAGCATTTGTTCATGCTATCTTGAATTAAATGAACATTTTGTTCTTATTGTAAATTTTTCAGCAATAAAAATTTGCTATTTGAATTTTTTTTAATCAGCATCATTAGAGAAATATTTGACTATTCATGAATCATCTTTTTTTAGTCCTGTTACCTCATTTCAGTTACCTCATTTCACATATACATTATTACACTCATATAATTTCTTCCTTTTTAGATGCCCCCAATATTTGGGCTAATACTGAACTTTTCATCTGAATTCAGTGTGTGCACAGATTTTTGTTTCATGTATAATAATTTCAGACATCCTTAAAGTATAATGTATATTATACTTCAAGGGTATCTGCAAAGCAAACATGACTTGAAATTCACAGGTATTGACTTGGTAATTCGAAATTGTTTGCAGACAAACGCAGTGGCTTGTGCTACGCTGTCCAGAAGAGTAAAAAGGGGTAAGAAAAAATGTAGTCAACATCAAGATGGCAACACAGGAAGTAGACTCATGTCTTCAGTTTAAACTCCTATGGAAAAAACTGTTTTGAAGGGATCAGATTACTGAACCACTCCAGATACTACTCTCAACAGAAATAATCTTGACCAGCCAACGTACTGACATTATCTCACAAGATAGATGCCTACATGGTATAAAATTTATTTTTCATTACATGTAAATAATATAATGATAGATTGGATCACTTTCATACAATTGAACATTTTAATAATGCAGACCATCACACATTTTGTAATGATTTCATTTGACACATTGAAAGTTTGCTGCCATCAAATATTCATTGTTGACAGTTTTAGCTGAAATTCCTCTGTTTGGTTTTCTGAATTGTAAATATTGAAACAATTTTGCATTAAGCTGTGTGGTAAAAAGAAGAGAGAAAAACAAAAAAGTGACGAGAGGGTACGCCGGCAAACCAGCTGTTATTCTTCGCCATCGGTCGCCTCAAAGAAATGAATTGCGAGACTCCTTTTCTCAGCCATTACACTGGGCAGTCATGAAATGGACACCCAAATCAAACACGCCTACTTCAACCGCCAGTCTATTCGCACATCCGACTTTGTTTCATGAAGTCCGCCGAATGACTCACCGTCTACCATGCCGCTGGCGCCTCGCCTTTTTTATGCTAGTCCGACATTGCTGAAATTTGCATGTGTACTGGTACAATCTCGTTTTGGACGAGACCGGCACGTATAAATCACGTCTTTGACAGTAGCCATGTTTCTTTTGGGATTTGTCATGCAAGTGAGACACGTTCACACATGTTTCGAGCTTCGAGGTAAGTCATCACACCCCTCTCTGATCTCATGATCACAAAGGTGTCAGCCCGGCGGTGGTCGTTTTCGACGGGTGCTTCTTCGTAAAGACAGGGCGGGGGGCTCTGATCTCACTCCCCCTTTGGGTGGATTGTTAGAGAGGGGCTCTGCTTCTATTCCCTCGTCAGGTGGATCAACACATTCCACGCTTCTTTCTTCGTTGAGCAGCAAACTTTCCACCCCGCTCTCAGATGTGTCGTCGGAATCTTGCTCGGATGCGCCATAACTGTATATCCTTAACGTGGCAGGGTATTCCGTCCACTAGAAATGACTGTGGGCTGATCATTTTCGTCACCTGAGCCTTGTTGAACCTGGTGGTGCACCGGCTTATCAGCGCCTTGACATACACGCGATCTTCGACCTGGTAGGGGCCGTGCCCATGGTCTAAAGACATCGTTAGGGCGTCAATCCCTTTCACCGCTGAGTCTTGTCTTGCTAACTGCTTCCAGATTGAAAAACGCGATGGGCCGCAGTCCGTCAGCATTAGGAAATGATGGGCACCATAGTGGGTGATATCCATCCCCAGTCTCTGCCAGTTTCCGCTTACCTCAAGCTTTCCTTTTTTCCAGTGAGTTGGTGCAGGGTCTATGGACTGACATTCCTCCCACGTCCGTATAGCCGATCTAACAGCTTCTTTTGTCGTTGACAGGCAGATTCTCCTGGCAAAGTAGGTAGTATGCTGCACTCCTGGGTGACCACTGTTTCTGTAGATGGGCATGATTTGATCTGCATCTAGTTTGTCCACATGGGAGGCGCCAATCATTGGCCTGTGTCCGTTACATGTCTTCCTTGTGTCAAACCATCGCTGCGGTACTCTTGTCAGTCCATCAGCTATATTCAGAGCCGAAGGGACCAGTGCCACATCCACGGTCAGCTGATACTCTTCCACGAGTTCTTTAAGAGTGCTCAACCGCCTCCTGATGAGCATTTAGTTTGCCGCCTTATCCCAGATGCCACTCGTGCTCTCCCAGTCAGAGTATCCGACACCCAATGGTACCGCATAAGCGGAATCCGTTTTAATGAATTGCGAGACTCCTTTTTCGGCCGTTACACTGGGTAGTCGTGAAATGGACACCCAAATCAAACGCGCCTACTTCAACCGCCTCTTGGTCTGCCAGTCTATTCGCATGTCCGACTCTGTTTCATGAAGTCCGCCGAATGACTCGCCATCTAACATGCCGTTGGCGCCTCACCTTTTTTATGCTAGTCCGACACTGCTGAAATTTGCATGTGTACTGGTACAATCTCGTTTTGGACGAGACCGGCGCGTATAAATCATGTCTTCAACAGTTGCCATGTTTCTTTTGGGATTTGTCATGCAAGCGAGACACGTTCGCACACATTTCGAGCTTCGAGGTAAGTCATCACAAGCTGATAACTGGTATGATTATGGATGTACATGGAGATTTTCAAGCTATTGACTGTTGAATCAAGATAAATCGGTTTTGTGCATAAAGAGTAAAATTGTAGATGAACCCAATATGAAATGTAATTCAATATATCATAGCCCATTGAAAATTTTGGATTACATGTTTGTGTCATGTTAGCAAATGTCTTTTGCCCAGTTCTCTTCCAATGATATGACATTTTCTTGTAACATACTGGAAATAAGTAGTTGTGAGAAAATAGTAATAGGAGGTTCAGATCAGAAATCTGGTGTCATAATTCCAAAAGTAAGAAATCAGTCTCACAAATCCAAAGTCAAAAATACCTGAGGTGTAAATCAAAAAGGATAAAAAAAACATATCCAAAACTCACAGCATGCAACTACCTATTTCATTGATAAAGAAAATACTGCTGTCATTCAAAGTAGCATTTTTATTGGTGTAGAAAAGGTTGTAAATGGTTGAGACTGGTAGGCAAGCACAAACATGACCATATTTCAACGCCTTACTAAAATAGACATCATAGAGAACACAAATAAGACTTGATTTTCTCTTTCAGTGCAATATGAATCAGTAGCTGTCATCAGATTTCCTTAATGAGGTAGCAAGAAATCTCAAAGAACAATCATATTAAATATAATAAATTGTTTATAAGTTGTATCAGAGTACATTGCTTAAATTTCAAATCAAGAAATAAGAATGAATAAAATTCATTTATTTCTACAAATAAAAGAGGAACTCATCACTGAAAACCAATTTTCAGTTGTAAACCTTTGTGGAGTGAATATATCAAGCACTAGTTAACTGAATGTTAGCATGATATTACTTTTATGCACACCCGAGTAAACAAGAACAATCTATCCATATAGATTAATGGCAACCTTGTTTAAAGTTATATTGGTGTATGAAAATTGCAAATAGTGACTTCCAAAAGTAAAAGGGTTAAAAAAAATAATGTCAAATAAAGCATGGTTCAATCGAAGGTTAAAAAGACTCAATTTTTATACTACGGCAAACAATTCTGGGAGACATAATCCTTCTCTCAGAGTGAGTCTCTTTATTTCTTTTTATAGGAGATTTAGGCTTTAAGTGATTCTCCTCATTTGAATCATCATTACACTCCCAGTCACTCTCATCCCCAGATTGTTCCTCACTACTACTGGATACACTAATTCTCTCCTCCCTCTCCTGTTCTTCACTTTCATATCTCTGGAGGTCTTCCTGATCACTCATCTAGATTAATTCATCCTTTCTTGCATTGTTTGTTCTGCTTTCTCTTCCTCCTCCTCCTTTTCCATAACTCTCTTGTGGTTCTAAATTGGTCTTTGTGAGACAATATACCCTGTCCATTTTTTGTTAACACAGCTGTGTTAAATGCCTTTTGCACCACAAAATTCACCTTTTCAGGATTTGAATCCTTGTCCTTTTTGCACCACACACTTTTTTTTCTTTGTAAATGACATTGTGATTTGTCTTCCCATCAATGCAGATGGGCTTTGTCTTTTGCCTGCATGTAGAATAGCTCTATAACTTAGGGATAGTCTGGGTAAATAACTCACTATATCACAAACCACTGGAGAGAATGCTTTTAATCCCATTTTTACTGTTTGAAACATTCTCTCTGCAATTCTATTTGCCTGTGGTTGGTAAGGTGATGTTTTATTGTTATACTAGAACATACCTATTCTATTGTAAATAGACTCTCCCACATATAATAAGTAGTAGTAGTAGCAGTCGCCAGGGGGCTCAGTGAGTTGGTGAGTCAGTCGATGTCGGACATTAAAGTATCAACCACCACAACTAGATTGCTGCGTCATTAACTATTATTTGAATTTTCTAACGTTTTGTACGTCGAACCTTTTTTAGGACCGACTTAGTGAAATACAAGCCACTGTGAAAACTACTCTACAACATTTATATGGAATGCAGCCAATAGGTTTTGACTATACCCATAAATTTCCTTCATAAAACTCTGGTGCATTGTTGGTGTGACGAAAGACATGACTTACCTCGAAGTTCAAAACGAGTGCGAATACGTCTTGCCTGCAAAGTAACGTGGAAAAGAAATATGGCCGCTGCCAAAGACACAATTTATGCGCTGCGATCTCATCCAAAACAAGATGATATTTGCACACATGCAAATTTCTGCCGTATCAGACAGGCATAAAAAGCGAGATGCCAGCAGCACAGTTCAGAAGGTTCGGGTCATTCAGCGGACTTCATGCAATAGAGTTGGACATACGAATTGACTGACGGACCAAGAGGAAGTCGGTGTATGCACGGCTGAGTCGGTGTCTGTTTCACAACTGCCCAGTGTAACGGCCAAGAAAGAGTCTCGCAATCCATTTCCTTGAGGCGACCGATGACGAAGAAAGAACAGCTGGTATGCCGGCGAACAGCGCACTGCACTTTCTGACCACCCCTCTCGTCACTTTCTTCTTTTTGTTTACTCCAGTTGGAGACCAAGGTTTTTGGAAATCCATTTCACAAACTCAACACCCACTTCACAGTAGCGGCTTTTCTATCTGCAGCTTTAATAACTTTAGGCCAACCTGAATACGAGTCAATTAGTATCAGAAATAGTCCTATACATTTAATGTAGGCATGATCCATATGTACTCATGTCCACTGTTCCATTCCTTTTGGCCAAGAGTGAATTTTAGTTTACCTAAATTTCTTTATTTCTTCACACTTTGGGCATTTTTTAACATACTCTTCCACATCTCTTGAATAGCCTG